TTTAAGTCATTTTAACTTACCTAGATATTGTTTTTTTCAAGTGTAGTATGTACAGTATAAATTTTGCAAACATTCGCAATATTTTTGTTGCCAGATGAGATGATTGGAAATGTGTTTTAGTCAGTTTTTTGACAAATTTTGATTTGCCCCGTGTTTAGTGTATGCATGTGCTTTATTTATTTTTTATTTTAGCTTATTTTTTACAATATTTTAACTTAGGTTACTGACCTAAAAAGTCCTGCATACTATCTTTTTTTCTATTTTTCTGTCTAATTTATTCAAGTTGATTACATGTACTTTCCCAATTACAAAAGGAGATTGTTTTTTGTTTTGTGAGATTTCATGCCAACTTATTCTTTAAAAAATACTGTGTTTATTTTGAAGGAAGTACTAAATATGAAACCCATTAACGTCAGAGCTAAGAATGAACTTTGCAGTATTTTGGCTTCATTATGAACATGGCTAATACATTCTGAAGGGAGCACATCTTCAGTTCAAGTTAATTAGAATTTCTCGTAATTGTATCTTGTATCTAATGGCATATATTGATAAATCCAGTTAGCCAAATCAAATAAACCTAGTATGTAACAGTGAAAGCTATTTTCATCTCATTGCTTTGTTAAAGCAGCAGCCCACAGATAAAAAAAAAAAAAAGCCAAAGTGGATTTCATAAAGAGTCATATTAATTATTACCATATTTACGATAGCTATCTGTGTTATTTCCAGGCCATGTGTGTCGATCTCATTTTCATTCACATTCATCAAATGCACATTTTCCCAAACAGATCACATGAGAAACTAAGGTATAAACGAGTGAACGTAACACAGTGACTCCATCATTTCCATGTTTAATCTGAAGATTGATTTGCGCTTATGTTTGATGTTTTGTGAATGGGCCTGTGCAGCCTCAGTCCACATCAGTCACAGCACTGCCAGGTTATTTTAAGAGGAGCAGATGAGAGGAGAGGGAGAGGAAGAGAGGGAGAGAGGGGGGAAGGGGTGAGGAGAGGAAGAGGGAAAGGAGGGGAGAGGGAGAAGAGACGAGGAGAGGGAGAGAGGATGAGAACAGGAGGGGGGGATGATAAAGAAGTGAAGGGGGGGCTGAGAGGGCGAGGAGGAGAGGGAAAGGAGAGTGGAGTGAAGGGGAGGAGGGTATAGGGAGAGGGAAAGGAAGGGAGAGGGAGAAGAGAGGGAGAGGAGGGAAATGATAGACGACGAGGAGGGGAGAGAGGATGAGAACAGGAGGGGGGGATGATAAAGAAGTGAAGGGGGGGCTGAGAGGGCGAGGAGGAGAGTGGAGTGAAGGGGAGGAGGGTATAGGGAGAGGGAAAGGAAGGGAGAGGGAGGAAGAGGGAGAAGAGAGGGAGAGGAGGGAAATGATAGACGACGAGGAGGGGGAGAGAGGATGAGAAAAGGAGAGGATGAAGAAGGGGAGGGAGAAGATGGCGAAGAGGTGAAGGGGGGAGAGGAGGGAAATGATGGAGGACAAGAGAAAGAGAGGGGAGAGAGGAGATGAGGAGAGGGAGAGAGGACAGGATGAAGAAGCAGATGATGAAGAGGGAGAGGAGAGGGAGAGGAGAAGGTTATGAGGAGAGAGAAAGGTAGAGGGAAGGGAGAGGTTGAGAGAGATTGAGGGGAGAGAGAAGGAGAGAGAGAGCGAATGGAAGATGAGAGGGAGAGGAAGAGGGAAAGGAGGGGAGAGGGAGAAGAGAGGGAGATGAAGAGGATAAGGAGAAAGCGGGGAGAAAGAAGAGAGAGAGACGAGGAGAGGTAGAGAGGATGAGAAAAGGAGAAGATGAAGAAAGAGAGAGAGAAGATGACAAAGAGGTGAAGGGGGGGACGATAGAGGACAAGAGAAAGAGAGAGGAGATGGGGAGAGGGAGAGAGGATGAAGAATGAGATGATGGAGAGGTGAAGAGGGAGAGGAGAGTGGAAGGGAGGAGAGAATGAGGAGAGAGAAAGGTAGAGGGGAGGGAGAGGTTGAGAGAGATTGAGAGGAGAGGTAGAGGAGCAGAGGAGAGAGAAGGAGAGAGAGAGCGGAAGATGAGAGGATGAGGGGAAAAGGGGTGAGGAGAGGAGAGAGGGAGATGAAGAGGAGAAGAGAAAGAGAGAGGAGAGAAAGAAGAGATGAGTAGAGGTAGAGAGGATGAAGAAGCAGATGATGAAGAGGTGAAGAGGGAGAGGAGAAAGGGAAGAGGAGAGAGAAAGGTAGAGGAGCAGAGGTGAGAGAAGGAGAGAGAGAGAGGATGAAAAGAGAGGGAGAGGACGAGGGGGAAAGGGATGAGGAGAGGAAGATGGAAAGAAGGGGAATCGGAGAAGAGAGGGAGAGGAAGAGGACAAGAGAAAGAGAGGGGAGAGAGAGGAGATGAGGAGAGGGAGAGAAAAGGAGAGGATGAAGAAGGAGATGACGAACAGGCGAAGAGGGAGAGGAGAGGAGAGTGGAGGGCAGGAGAGTATGAGGAGAGAGAAAGGGAGAGGAGAGCATGAGGAGAGGGAGATTGAGAGGAGAGGGAGAGGAGCAGAGGATGAAAGAGAGGGAGAGAGCGAGAGAGAGGAGGAGGGGAGGGAATGAATGAAGAAACAGGCCTTTCTCCTGACCTGATATTCTCAACCTACAAATGAAAACACCCATTCAAGGACTGAGCTAGATAAGGGTTTAAAGGAGAGGCATATAACATATTACAGTACAAACAATCATTTTGCATAAGTGTAGGTTTGCTGGATGAAGAAAAAAACATCCAAAAGAAGAGATAAGTGATTCAAAAGTCACTGATACGTAATTCAAATTTTATGTTTTTTGTGTTACTCCAGTAATACGTGTCTAACAGCACCAACGTAAGAGTAATAATGATTTCTCATGATGATTACTACTTGGAAATATGATCCAATCAGCATTGAAGTTGCGTCCCAAACTAAATGTAGCCCTTTGGTACTCATTAATTACTTGAGTGGGCTCTGGGTTCTTTTACAGTGTACTCTCGTACTAAACCTAAACTACTTCTAATATTTTGGGACAGCAGTACAGCACCTTTAATACCAGACAGGAAATGACCAAAAGCAGATAGTCTATGGGGTACCAAATTAACACCAGACACAAAGTAGATTTAAAATAACCCTCCCTTTAATAAAGAAAAATTAAATAAAAATGCACATTGAAATGCTTTCAAGCTTCACAAAAATGTACAACAACTCTATTGTTCATTTACTAGTCCTAATGCCGGCATCTAAATTCACCCTGTATCGATGCTCGGGTACGGTGTGACCAAAACCTCCGGGTCACTTCACTCAAAGAGCAAAAACAAAATAAAAGCAGGGTACCTCGATAATCGTGTTAATCCCACCCGAATCGTCCGGTCCAGTTCCGTGGCTCCTCGTCTGCTCCGATAACCAAGCTCAGCGCCCCCGGCTACAGCGCGTCTCCAACAGCGATCCAGGTGCGGCGTCCACACCCGCTCCGAACGTCTCGTCCCCGTATCCCACGTTGCCAGAGGTACTCCGATCGTCGCGGGCACTCAGAGGACTGTCTGGGGTCCGTTCTTCGTTGTCCTGTCCGGTAACGATCCACTGTAAGCTCCTTGTACCGCGTGGTTAGCGAACAGCAGCTCACAGTCACTTTAGCGACGATGACTTCTCAATAAGCGAGTAATAAGCGGAGAAAGTACAGTCCGCAAGTTTCGCGTTGAAACTACACTGTTTTTGACCGCAAATCACACACATAACTCACGGTGGATTCTCTGGGTGACAAACCACAAATCTTTACCAAAAAAGCAAAAAACACGAGACAACTTTAGCTGTAGCTGTTTTTCGGGCATCTCCCTCGGATCTCTCCCTCTATCTCTAACCCGCGCGTCTTCTCACGAGATTCACGTCACTTTCCAGACTATATTAGAATAGGAAAACCACTTTACCACTTGTACAGTATTGTAAAATAAAATATTAATATTTCTTATCTCTTTTTTTAGTTTTAGCAAATATGTTTTTAACCATAACATGAACTATATTTTAATGAATGAAGAATAAAATAAAATGAATTGTCTTTTTTTTTAAAACCATTTATAACTATGAAATATGCTTTTGCAAATGTACTTTTATCACATGGATTTGTTTTTTTTTTAACCGGGTTACATAAATATATCTTATCCATAGCTCCTCTGACAGAGTACACGTGGTTACTTTCCAGAGAAGAACTCAAATGTGGATACACTACAAAAAAGATGATTTCAGTGTGTTTTCACTATGCAACAATAAAATCAGATTCAATTTAAAACAAGAAAAACATGTAAAAATCTTCTTAAATTATTATTGTAATCAATATTTGCTTTTACAATGTAAAAAAAAAAAAGTCAAATTAAACCAGGAATCTAAAATATACTATTCCGTCTGAGTATTTATTTATTTATTTTTGTACATGTGTTATGTATGTCACACCTGTATATCTTATAACATCTCTTGTGGACTTGTTGCTTATTCACCGTCTATTTATACCTACAGAACAATACTTGACAGTGCATTGTTGTGCACCAGCATAATGTTAACACATATTATACAACATAACAAGACCTCTGCTCATGTTTGTGGATGTTAAAGGTGCATTGTCTAACTTTTCTGGTGAAGGGTCCATCAAATCAAATGCTTTTCTCCGTGGAGATGTTATTGCCTCATCTAGAATGTTTCACAGTGTGGTATTAAACCTTTTTACCAACATGGAGACCAAAACAAACCATGTTACAGGTCATATCTGTGGAAGGGTGACCCCGCTCACAGTCAGAATGCATGACTTTCTGGGATTTTTTGAGCTGTAAAACCACCTGTAATTGAATAAAAGTACGGTAGATCTGTTTAATGTCATACTGTGGAACGTTCGAAGTAGAGCAGTGACATCTCCATAGAAACAAGCAGGTGAGGGACCCATAACCAAAAAGTTGCGTAGTGCATCTTTGACATGTATGTGTGTATAAACATAAGATCTCTTCTCATGTGTTTGTGTCTCTGTGTTTCAGTTCAAGAGGATGTTGAATCGCGAGCTCACACACCTTTCCGAGATGAGCCGCTCCGGAAACCAGGTCTCCGAGTTCATCTCCAGCACTTTCTTAGGTCTGTATTATGTCCTACAATCCATGTGTTTGAAAAAATACATTATAAATTTACAGAATTAACAGGAATCTGAAAGCCCATCAGTACAACTCCTTCATTCAAGTTATAGCCTGCAATAAGTTTGTTTCTTTCTTGAAAAAAATGACTTTGTCTGGAATGTCTCACAGTATGGAATTAAACCTTTCTATATCATCATGGAGACCAGATCAAACCAGGCTACAGGTCAGATCTGTGGAGAAGGCAACCCCGCTCACAGTCAGAATACCTTTTTTTTTCTGGTTATTTTTGAGCTTTAGAACCACTTGTAAGTGAATAAATGTAAGGCAGATCTGTTTAATGTCATACTGTGGAACATTCCAGGCAGAACAATGACCATAATATCCATAGAAACAAGCAGGTGACGGACCCCCAACCAAAAAGTTACACAGTACACCTTTAACATTAGAGCTCCCATGACTGACTGAAATATAGTACAATTAATTTAATAATATCCACCTTATACCACCTAATTCCTGTCCACCTTTGTGACTGCTGCTACTGGCACTTCCAGTTTAGCAGGAATCCCATTCTTGGAGAACTAAAAAAGTTATAAAGTAAAGTTAAAACTAGGTTGATTTGTGTATGTTTGAAGTTCATGTTCACCAACAATTCAACACTGCACAGATTCTATGGCTTTGTAGTGTGTATAGAAGAAGAATCAAGTCCACAGTTCCTAATGTGTGTTACTGTGTGTATTTCAGATAAGCAGCATGAGGTGGAGATGCCGTGTCCTCAAACTCAAAAGGACAAAGAGAAGAACAAACCCATGTCTCAAATCAGCGGAGTGAAGAAGCTGCAGCACTCGTCCAGTCTCACCAACTCCAACATCCCACGCTTCGGAGTCAAGACGGAGACTGAGGACGCGCTGGCGAAGGTCTTAGTCCAAGCAGGAACAAAACATGACCACAACATTACCATAACATTACCATAGCATGACCATAACATGACCATAACATGACCATAACATGACCATAACATGACCATTACATGACCATAACATGACCATTACATGACCATGACATCACCACAACATGACCATAACATAACCATAACATTACCATAACATGACCATAACATGACCACAACATGACCATGATGACATGACATGATGACATCACCATGACATCACCATGACATCACCACAACATCACCTTAATATCATCATGGCATCCCCATAACATGACCATAACATGACCATAACATGACCATAACATGACAATAACATGACCATAACATGACCATAACATGACCATAACATGACCATAACATGACCATAACATGACCAATACATGACATAACATGACCATTACATGACAACAACATGACCATAACATGACAATAACATGACAATAACATGACCATGACATGACCATGACATGATCATGACATGACACCATGACATCACCATGACATCACCACAACATCACCTTAATATCATCATGGCATCCCCATAACATGACCATAACATGACCATAACATGACCATAACATGACAATAACATGACAATAACATGACCATTACATTACCATAACATGACCAATACATGACAACAACATGACCATAACATGACAATAACATGACAATAACATTACCATAACATGACCATAACATGACAATAACATGACCATGACATGACCATGACATGATCATGACATCACCATGACATCACCATGACATCACCATGACATCACCACAACATCACCTTAATATCATCATGGCATCCCCATAACATGACCATAATATCACCATAACATCATCATAACATCATCCTGACATCACCATAATATCAACATGACATCACCATAACATAACGCTGGGCAATATGGGGAAAAAAAAGAATTTCCCTCCGTATTGATCGATCTGAATTTTCGAATCAGTCTTCATTCATCCTATTTAAAACATAGACATGTGGACTTCAGCCATAAAGAAAAGGGTGTTGGGTCACTGCAGTTTTTAACCAATAATTCTGGAGAAACTCACATTTAAAGGCCGTAATGAGTTTGTACAATATGTTAAATGCTATCTGCAGACACACGCACATGCACACTACCACTATCACTCAACAGTGAGAAAATAGTCGTTTACTTTCTGTATCTTGGATGATAAAGATGAGAAGCACCAGAAGAGAAAAGACGGCATCACACAAACAGACACACACACAGAGACAGAGGGAGAGAGAGACTGGACTTTTTATGAAATTGTGCAGATTTAAGTCAAAACTTGTGAATACCTAAGGAGACATAAAAAGACGTGCTGTGACTCAGGCTGCTTTTTCCTAAACAAAAATGTGCATGCCTTGTCACTGAGATCAACCGAAGTAGATCTTTCAGTTTTTGGCACAGTCCATCATAAAGTCACCACAACAGCACAGCAACAGCACAGCAATCAATCTTATGGCTTCAAGTCAGATCATCCTGTCTTTTGTGTTGGATAATGGCATCACTTTCTAAAGCTTTTGTGGGGGGGAAAAAGTCACTTTTGTTTCTTTATAACGACAGGGAAGAGATTGGAATTTGTGTCAGGTTTTGTTTCATTTGAATAGGCCCAGTAACATAAACCAGGTCAAAACATTTGTATTCAAAGACAAAATCATAACTCGAGTCTACCGTCTTTCTTCTTTTTCAGGAGCTGGAACATGTAAATAAATGGGGCCTTAATGTTTTTAAAATCTCTGAGTTTTCTGGGAATCGGCCGCTGACAGTCATGATGTACACCATATTCCAGGTATGGCTCCATCTTATTATGTTACCTTAACAGTAATACACATCAGTAATGTATTGCTTTTTATATCTCCAAATTGTATTACATTACAAAAATTACTTACAACAAACTTCTGTCCTCCTCCCTTGTTCCTTGTAGGAGCGAGACCTATTGAAGACTTTTAAAATCCCCCTGGACACCTTTATAACGTACCTGATGACCTTAGAGGACCATTACCACGGCGATGTGGCCTATCACAACAACATCCACGCTGCCGACGTCACCCAGTCCACGCACGTGCTGCTGTCCACCCCTGCCCTCGAGGTACGGCTCCAGTCAGATGACCTTTACCCTAACCTTTACCTTCAAGAACCCTCCCTCTCTGACATAAAGCTGCCAGAACCCTTCTATTTTATAAGATTGGTTGATTTGACAAATTCATATGTAACTGTAACATCAACCTGCATCAACAAGCTTGTTTTTATTAAAATGGCAAAATCCTCCTATTGTGTAGCTTACAGTTAAAATATTTGAGAGGCGTAAAAAGATTGTCCAACCTGCCAGCACATTTCAGCCTACACAGAGCTCTGAAGAAGATCTGTATTGGTCAAAACACTTTTGTATCCCACGTTTTGTAATAAAGGACTTGAACTTTCAATCTTTTTAAACCCTTCAAACTAATTTACAGTGCAAGATATACAATAGGAGACTTGATTTTGCCATTTTAATGTTTCTAGTTAGTCCTTTAGGAGCACCTGATTTCTCTTTCCATCAGGTTATTTTTTGTGTTTCTCTGATCAAATAAATAAATACAATCCATTAATAGTACATTTGGTATAGGCTGGATGTGTGTGTCCAGGGCCTCATCGTCTCTTTGTTTTCTGTTTTAGGCTGTGTTCACCGACCTGGAGATCTTGGCTGCCATCTTTGCCAGTGCGATCCACGATGTCGACCATCCAGGAGTCTCCAACCAGTTTCTCATCAACACAAGTGAGTACAAAAAGAAATATGCTTGTTTATTCTCAAGAAATGTCAGCTCTTTCTGAAAAATCATTATAGAAAAGAAAAGGACTTTAGAGTTTTTTAACAGTCCCTTTAACACTGTGACATAACTTTATTGATCCACAAGGGAAATTCTTTGGGCACAGTAGCTCGCACGTCACAATGTTTTATAATAACAAAGAGCGAAAATATAAATGATAATGTAAATGTTCCTCCCCCCAGACTCTGAGCTGGCTCTGATGTACAACGATTCGTCTGTGCTGGAGAATCACCATTTGGCCGTGGGCTTCAAACTGCTCCAGGAGGAGAACTGTGACATCTTCCAGAACCTGACCAAAAAACAGAGACAATCACTGAGAAAGATGGTCATCGACATCGTAAGTACAGGAACACACCTCAACTTTGAGAGACGCCAAGAGAGTACATGTACATGCCCAGTAAAAATGCATAACTCAGTAAATAAATCAGATTGTTTTGGTCCGTGTTTGCATGAATAAAAGCGTAATAAAACACTTAAGTGGTGACATTAATGGGTCATGGGTCATATATGTTATTATTTGACCCTCTACATAGTAAATTGTATGGAATTACAAAAAAAAAGACATAAAAAATGATCTAGCATTTATTTATTTATTAAACTCTAAGTTGATAATCAATAGTCGATATATTCATGACTGACCTACAGACAGATGACAGGAAAACATCTCCCACGTACTATTTATACTGTTTCTCTATATATCAGTACTAAATGTTTTGTTGTTGTTTTGGTTTTTTGTTTATGTGAATAGGTGTTGGCCACAGACATGTCTAAGCACATGAACCTCCTGGCTGATCTGAAGACCATGGTGGAGACTAAGAAGGTGACAAGCTCCGGAGTGCTGCTACTGGACAACTACTCTGACAGGATACAGGTGAGTCCTGCAAATGATGTCCTCTCAGTTACTTCTTTACTTTGACTCAGTGACAAACATGTATACAATGGCTGCAACTATTTGTTGAGGGTCTAAAAATCCCCCCAAAAAACTTCACATGATTGTAAAGAGATTATACTTGCGTAGACATTTTAAACGCTACACTCGAGAAAATGTTGGAGTGAACTCATGAATTACTTTTAACTCGATCTGAGCCAAAATGAGACCCACTGGCAAAGTTGTTGCCTGTAAAAAATTGTATTATTGTTTTCTCATGTTGACCTGTTTAATTCAAATCAGTACAATTCTGTAGAGCTCAAATTCACAAAAGAATCACTCTGCAGGGCTTTACGAAATTGTTAATTTAGCCAATGGAAAGTTAGAAAATCATTTATTATTTATTATCATTCATTATTTTCATTTATTTATTCTGATCATTGATATCAAGGAACAACAGCGAACATTGCAGTCTGGCCTTAACAACACGGCAGTCGGCAGTAGCAGTTTTCCTCATCAGTGATCCCACAGCTCCCTCTGGTGGCCACACACCAGACAGATTAAACATGATCTTGTGTTTTGTGTTGTAGGTTCTTCAGAACATGGTGCACTGTGCAGACCTGAGTAACCCCACCAAGCCCCTGCAGCTGTACAGACAGTGGACGGACCGCATCATGGAGGAGTTCTTCAGCCAGGGCGACAGAGAGAGGGAGCGGGGCATGGAGATCAGCCCCATGTGTGACAAACACAACGCCTCTGTGGAGAAGAGCCAGGTACATTAAACGCACAAGGGCAGAAGAGACACACAGACACATAGAAACATATGAGATAAACACAAGGGTAGAAGATACACAGAGATATTGAAGCCTACATTCAAATGAAGAAATGTCTTAAACTGGACCATTAAAGACATCACATATCCTAAATAGGGACAATCTCAATCACAGCCGCTAATCTGTAACATCCATCTCTCAAATGCAAATTCTCATATCATACAGAACAAAATATATAACTTATTTTAATTCAGAGCCGCCTAATTTGTCTTTCACTTGCTGATTCTGCAGAAATCCACACTGTATCACATTTGTGTGTGATAGTAAATTATGTTTACAAGATTTTTTAAACATAAAACAATATCTTCTAAAACAGTTATATATATATATTATACTGAATGATAGAATTTTGGAGACGAGGTGTCTTCCGTATTTGTGAGACACTTGCTATAAATTAGTAGTCAGGCTGGCGCCACCTAGTGCCTCCGCTCAATGTAATTTCTTTCCAGCGACTAGGTCAGGAATCAGAATACACTAGACAGTTTGCAAGAACCCCAGAAGTTGTAGACCGCGCACCGGCCAATCAGCGAAGAGCTGAGCCAGCCCAAGTTACGACTGCGGACGGCATACGCTATCCTCCTTTGGATTTCCTTTGTCAAATACAAACTTCACATTTTGTATTGCACCTTTAATTTGCAAGTTCACTTTCTGCTTTGTTTGCTGTTGTGCCAGCAAATACTTGGACACCGCTGAGCATTCCGACGCATTACATACGTCACGACCACATAGCAGCGATTGGTTAAATGAAAAAGTACTCGCCTACTGTTGCTGCAAGGTCAGACGGTTTCCACGAACTGAAACTGGCTGATGAATCAGGCTAATAAATTGGCAGTTCAAGTCTTAAGTTGGGACGGAGATTTTTCACGCTCTGTGGTCCGATTCCAGACTTCTAGATTTGAACTGAATGTAGAAGGGGTTTATAAGACCTTGACCGTGTTAAAACACACACTTATATTTATCAGCACCAATATGAAAATGTAACATTTAGTAAGATTTTCCTAGTTAAATCTAAAATTTAAATAGTGATTTCCTTGTAAAACTCAAACTGGTGTTGCTGTGTCGTAGGTGGGCTTCATCGACTACATCGTGCACCCGCTGTGGGAGACGTGGGCCGACCTGGTGCACCCTGACGCGCAGGACATCCTGGACACTCTGGAGGACAACCGCGAGTGGTACCAGAGCACCATCCCCCAGAGCCCCTCCCCCGCACTCGACCAGACCGACGATGGCAGCGGGCGCCCACCAGGGGGAGACAAATTCCAGTTCGAACTCACCCTAGAGGAGGACGGAGAGTCGGACACGGAGAAAGACAGCGCCAGCCAGCCCGAGGAGGAGGAGGAGGAGGAGGAGGAAGAGGAGAACAGCTGTACCGACTCCAAAACGCTGTGTACGCAGGACTCCGAGTGCACTGAGATCCCCCTGGACGAGCAGGTGGGGGACGACGAGGAGGAGGGCGACGACGATGAAGAGGAGGGGACACTGTGCTCTCCGTGTGTTCAAGAGGAGGAAGAGGAGAGAGGGACACACTGCTCTCCGTCTGGCCCGGAAGAGGAGGAGGAGACGGGGACGGCCTGCTCTCCCTCCTGTGTCCAAGAGGAGGAAGAGGAGGAGCGGGCGGCGGAGGAGGGAGACGCTCTGTGCTCTTCGTCTTGTGTCCCTGAGGAAGACGAGGAGGACGCAGAAGAAGACAGGACCCCTGACACATAGCAGTTTATACGCACCTAAAGTACTCTTCTTAGTAATGACAGAGAATTATTTATAGAATATTTTTGGGGGGGTCTGGGAGTCTGCGATTACGTCCACGCTAACACATCGTACGTTTTACTGTGTTTTTAAACAGAGTCCACACTGCACTACACGTCTAAAACTTCAGAGCGGTAGTTTTCAAAGTGCAATATACAAAAGAACTTTATATAGCATGGGTGCTTTTCACATGTGTGTGTTGTAATTATAATTGTGGATGTGGATGTGATTACCGACTAGCGTTTTAGGCTAAGTGAAAAGAATTAGACCATTGGGTTCCACTTATATTAACTACAACTTAATAAGACCTAATGAAGTATGAGCAAAGACTTAATTCATAATGAACTAAATTGTTTATTAAGACTGACTCAGGCTTAGTAACTACTTAAATAAAGGGTTAGTTTTAGGAGTTAGGGTTACGGTATTAAGTAAGGCGACGTTTATATGATAACGGACTGAACTGAAGACGCAAAAGTGGCGTCGCGTCTTCGTTTTTTATTCCGCGTTTAGACGAGGGTTTTCAGGAGGAAATCTGCATGCATACGGTGACGCAAAAGTGTGGAATTCGATTGCGTATGCATGACAGGTTTCTGTGTACTGTACATATGTGACGTAAACACGTACGCGACCAGAGTTTTGCGTCTTAGGCAGTGTAGACGAAAACGATATGGCGGAGCGTATTCAACTTTTCCAATCTGGAGGGTGGTTTCAGATGTTTGCGTTTTTAAGCCCCAAACACTGTCACCGTCTAAACCAGGGGTGGGCAAAGTACGACCCGAGTAATACATAGTAAATACCATGGGACCTGAAAGACAGATATTCTGTTGTAATGCGTTCTGTTTTTCAATTATGGGATATGTTTTCTGTCATATTCCATGTAATTTTTTTCTCTTATGAGGTGGATTACTAAACTCCATCCATCTGCTCCTGGTCCGGCCCTTTCGTTAAATTTTACAACCCTTTGTGGCCCTCGAGTCAAAAAGTTTGCTCACCCCTGGTCAGCACTTCTCAAAAAATATTTGGTCGCTTTTACCCGCAAGCATTTTCGTGTATACAGGCCCTAAGTCATTCTTAAAGGCTTTGCATATGATTTTTACTGTTTTAAAAACACTAAAAACAGAACTGGTTCATTTTTAAATGTTTTTCAGAGGTCCAAAGTTATTCCTCACTTACTTTTACGCATTCTGAGCATCCTAATTATTCACCGCGATGAGTTTATAAGCGCGTTTCACAACTAGCGTGGCGTTAGCATGCAAATCATTCACAATAACTCTCTCCGACTATAAACACGCGTACAGCTGACTTATTTTGACCTCAAGAACTGATTATACGGGTTAGGATTTTAATTGCGTAGGTACTAAGCCTGAATCCTTCTTAATAAAACCATTTGTCCACGATGAATTAAGTATTTGTTGTGTTACTAAGGCTAATTAAGGTTTAGTTTTTATAACGTGTTACCGACCATTGAATAAAATGTTAGCATTGACCTTTATGAATACGAATTTTAGAACTATGTCATTATAATTTAGTCTATTTAAAAATCCCAGTAAGGTATGCATGCTCAAAATGTAATTAAACATGAAATGTGCACTTTTGAAATTAGCTGTCGCCCATAAAAGTTTCAACAATATATAGACAAAACTAAAAAATTTTGATGAAATGTATACTGGCAACTATTAGCCTGGTTCAGTGTAACTAGAAAGTCATTTTTAGCGTCTTTAGCTGCCCCATTTTGTTTCAATGTCAAGGAAACAGAGAGATGTGTTAGCGTGGACGTAGTCGTGGTGTTTTGTTTATATTTTATTCCAAAGCGCGTGCTGCTCTCCACTTTGACCACTCCCCCTTTCTCTTCAGACACGCCCACTGGTACTCCCCACTTATTTTTGCACTCAGGAAATCTTCTTTTCATTCCTGTCCTATACCGAACTCAAACGGTGTGTCCCTCTGTCGCCTCCTATAGGTTGGGTTCACGTGACTTTACATTTTTAAAACGACTATGTTTAATATTGGTTAGAAAACTACGATGGAATTTACTAATTTAACTGTCAAAATGCTGATTTGTTGACCTAGTTTTTGGTTAATTTCGCTGTAATTCTTGGGCCTATCCACATAAAACAAAAACTGAAACAAAGTGTAAAGAACTAGGGAGAAATATTGATTCTAAAAAGGCACAATTTTCTCAAGACTGTGTAACAAGTAAGGTGTACACTGTCTTCTAGTTTCCATGGAGATGTTTTTACATTGCCTGGAATGTTTCGTAATATGGCATGAATCAAATCTATGTTGCTTTTTTAAAAACATGCGTTGTTGCTGTGAGTGAGCGAGTGAGTGAGCGAGTGAGTGGGCTCGCCTCTCCACAGACCTGACCTGTAACTTGGGCTTGCTAGTAGCCGCTTGTCTTCATGGACATAGATTGGTTTAATGCCATACTGCGGAACATTCGAAGCAAAGCAGTAACATTAGAAAAGTTACGCAAAGCTCCTTCAAAATGGCGAGTTTATGGGCCCAATCCCAAACAAAATTATAAGAGTATTATTTCAATTTCTTTCAACATCAACAGCCAATTGTGAATAGAGTTGCACAGGTCCCCTTCCCTCTATCTGAAACGATAAAATCCAATTCTAAATCATGACCGTGAACTCAACCTATAGTTAAAAACATCCGAGCATTCCCTTCACATCTTTGCCTGTGTTCTGACAAGTGCCCATTCGACTCCACTGCAGAGAATGTTGCTCTGATATAGGTCATTTGTCCCACTGTGAACCCAGATTCTGCTGTTTTCCCTCAAGAAACGAAAGAAACAATTACCGCCGTAAGCTGCAGCACATGGGGAGCTTTACGAACATCCGAAATGGAAGTCTTCCTGGAAAAAAACTCAAAACCGTGACTGACACAAGCTCGAACCTTACAGCTGTTGACGCTGTCCTCAACCTCCGATTATTTTGTATCGTACTGTATGTAAGATTAAGAGATTTTCTAGAATTTACTTTTGCAATCTTTCTTTTCTTAGCAAATAGTTTTTTGGAGTTCATTGAAAGACGTTTGCCAGTGTTTGAAGGGATATAAAAATCGACATAGCTATATATATATATAAAACCCCATTCACACATGCAGCCTGACCCGGGAATTTACCTGCATTTTGCCAGAACAGAGTCACATGTGAATAACGCCAGAAAATTACTCTCCTGGGTTACAACCTTGGTGATACTATGTGGTTGAATTCTTTTATCATTCAATTTAAAGACTTTAAAGGGGGAGTATTATACGAAATTGATTTGTTTTTTAGCTTTCTAACATGTTATAAGGTTATGTTCCATCATCGAAAACATGCCTGAAGAGGTTTTAGATGTCATTTTTGCAGTTTGAGTTATTTAGCGATCTCTCCTGGCCACTTTTCAGACCCTCCTTACGGTTCGCTGTAAGAATCTGTCCAGTGCTCCGCCCACAAGCCTACGTCATCCACGCTCACACGCGACAATTCTCCATAAATATACAAAAGTATGATACAAAACAACACACTACGACTTCACAAACCTGATTTGATGTACAGTAGTTTCATTAGCGGGAGGCACGCTGATTGGGTTTTGTCAGCGCTCTGAAAGGAGACTGTCTTAGCACAGAGAGCAAAAAGATGGGAGCCCCAGAGTGTCAAAAATGAAAATTAAACCTACATTGTTTTCGGCAAATATAGCATTATGGAAGTTTGTGTAATTTGTTCCATTATAGAATTTTAAATACCATTGAATTTCTCACTTTGAATTTTTTTACTCTAAAAACTCTAAAAAATGTTTGAATTAATTTTATTCAGAATTTTAGTTGCTGAAATTTTAAGTATACGTTTTCAATATGTTTCAAATTCAGAATAAAATTTTAACTATGAGCACATATATTTTCAAGCCCTCAAATTCAGCAGTCAAAATTCAGAGAGTAAAATTCGCAGTGAAAATTTTCTCAGCAAATGTCGAAGATGTCAAGACAGAAGCAATCGATCATATGACTGAGGAGGAGGCTGTTTCCTATTGGCTGTTCTCATCTGTGGGCGGGGTTTACACTTAGAGAAATAAAAGAGATGAGGTGTGGATGAGTAGCCAGGCTGGCGCCGCCTAGTGCCTCCGCTCAGTTTCATTTCTCTCCAGCGACTAGGTCAGGAATCGAAATATACTAAACGGTTTGCAAGAACCCTGGAGGTGCGAGTCCAGCGAAGAGTCATACATTCTGTGTTGGCAACGATTCCCGAGATCAAGGACTTAAAGCTGGAACAAAGAGCATGTTTGGTGAATTTTATCAAGGGGAAAGACGTTATTGTCCCTTCTTCCTACGAGATTTGGAAAAAGTTTAATATACCAGTTATCCCCGTTAGCGATGCATTACATACGTCATGACCAAATAGCAGCGATTGGTTAAATGAAAATAGTACCTGCCTACTGTCAAGCGAATGAATCCTAATGCTGTGAGGTCAGACGGTTTCCATGAAGTGAAACCGGTTGATGAATCAGACTAGTGGATGAGGCTAATTTTGACCAATCGGATCGCTTCACTACACCATTTCCCGCTTGTTACAAAATTTGATTGAATCATTTTGGATCGATTGCTTCTGTCTTGACATCTTGGATTTTTGCTGCAAATATTTTTAACTGCAAATTTTACGCTCTGAATTTTGACTGCTAAATTTGAGGGCTTGAAAATATACTGAATATTTAAAAGGTGATTTTTTTTATATATTGAATTTTAAACACTTTGAAAATGTGAAAATGTACTCTTAAAATTTCATCAACTGCCATTCATAATATAAATAATTCAAGCATGAGTAAAAAAATTCAAAGTGATTTAAAATTCTAAATCCATATAGCATTTTCAAAACAATAAAAGGTAACATGCTGATTTAAATGTTACATGTTAGGAGTTAATACTCCCTCTTTAAATTACTGAAATTGTGCATTGCGTATGTGAACAGACCAGACCCG